CCATTTTGTATGCATTTTGCATGCTCATACTAAGTAGAGAAGGAAACTGTCAGATATTTTTCACAAAGGTATCCTCTTGATTGTACACTGCAGGTACTGTATTTCTTTGCTTTGATTCACTGAAAAGACCTATCCAGCTAATATCAGTCATGGAAAGGAAGTGTTAAGAATGAAAAATAATGAAAATTAAACTACTTCTGTCTGTGAATCATTTAAGCAATATCTATCTTTAGAGTCTCACATTTCTGCAGTTGTGAATAAAGATTAAGGTGACGCATCAAAAAAGAAAAGGAAAAAAAGAAATGACTTTAAAAAAGGTGAACGAGGGCCATTGCCGCAAGAGCAGAAGATGCGAGGCAAGGTGTTTTGGCTTAGGAGGGCTCTGGCCTGTTGCTGGCCATCGGGTCAAGGCCTCAGCCATGTTGGCGCCTTCTGCAGGCTGCGAGGAAGAGTGGGCTCCGTGTCCCCAGCTCCTGGGGCATCACCCCGATCTCGGTCCATGTTCACATGATGTTCTCCCTGAGTGGATCTGTGAACCAAACCCCTCCCGCCCTTTTATAAAACAACACCAGCCATGTTGGAATAAGCCCACCATACTCCAGCACGACCTCTTTTTAACTGATTACACTGGCAGTAGCCCTGTCTCTGTGACTTCCTGGAGAGCCACTTCCTGCATGAGCAGGTGAAACTCATCAAGAAGATGAGGGTGACATCCGATTCACCTCCGCAGGCTAGCTGGCCCCCAGGGCAGAAATCTCCCATGTCCGGCTGTCCCAAACACTGTGGGTCCCCTTTTCCCCTTGTCCTTCGGGCGTGGACTAGGATTTCAGGGATCACGATGCCCTAACTTATGCCCTGAGAGAAACATCTGGTTGGCGGACCATACCTGCAGGTTTCAGAATGAGTCAACACAAACAGTGGCCAATATTGGAAACTGGGGGGAGCGGAGGGGAGTGTTTTTGTACAACTAATTATACTTTTCTAAGGTTGAGAATTCAAGTCTCCATCAATTTCCTGAGTGTTGTCACAAGTTATTCAAGGACGGCTATTAGCAAGGAGGTGGTTATGGTTCAGAGTAGTCAATTGGTGCCACTACTTGGGATCCATGTCACAATGGCATCAATAGGACACACATGTTTCCCACTCAGCATCTGCCGAGCTGGCCCACTCAGTGGGCAGGGGCATGGGCTCAGGCATGGGCACCTTGCTCATCAGCATGATCTATGAAGAGTCTCCCGACCGCATCAGGACTACCCACAATGTGGTTGTCTTCACCCAAAGTGTTCAACACTGTGGTTGAGCCCTACAGCACCACCCTCTCTGTCCATCAGTTGGTGCAGAATATGTGTATTTGGGGTGCCCTCTGGTACCACCTGGTGGCCATGGGGCATCACAGCAGCAGACTGTGGAAGTTGAACATTGGGGTCCTGACCCCACCCTGGAGATCCTGGCACCCTGACCATCAGACCTTAATCTCCACAGCTGAACAGATTCTTCCAGGAAAGGCGCGCAGACCTCCCCCCATTCGCAGGGAACTGAAGTTGAGTTGTGAGAAGGAGGCAGTGTGGCCACACAGGGGCAGCACAAGGAGGCAGGCTCGGCTGCTCAAGATGTAAGGGGCGCACTTCACGTACCCCCATCGTAGCTGGGGCGCCTCTGTCCTGGTTGGTGAAGGAGATACTACAGAGGAGCAGCCTTGTTGAACTAAATCACCTACGATGAGGGGCCGGGGAAGCTGATGCTCCAGGGTGGAGCCTCAAGCTCCGATTTGCCCTCGGGCTCTGGCCCACTGAGAAGGCTCTGGGAGGCAGCCAGCACTGCGTTGTTGGGCGGGTTTCTCTGGGTAAATTCCATGCTCAGAGGTCACCAAGTCTCAGTGGGGTCAACCTCTGGAGGCTCTGCACACTGGGCCACATGGCAGGTCCCTCTCTGCTCCCCTCCTGTGCCCTCAGGCATCTTAGCACATCTGAGTTTTCCCACTGAGCATGGCCCCAGCAAGAGGAGGCCAGCCAAGGGCACCAGGAGACGGGGCCCAGGGCAGTGAGCAGCTGGGCTCCCCTCTGGGCCACACACACCCCCGGTGTGGGGTCCCGGCTTCCCCGCCCCACCCCGAGCCTCTTCTGAGCCCGGGAAAGAAGCCTGCCGGATCCTGATGTCTGCTCAGACTGAGGGTATAGACAAGTGGCTTCATGCATGGCGATGGGCCGCTTCAAACCCAGCTGGGCCTGTGCTCACCCCAGCTCTTCCATTATAGGTCCCCGGCCTTTACCTCCCCACCCCTCCAAGTGACCCAACTTCCCTCGAATGATAAAACCGCTTCCTGGGCGGTCAGTCTCAAGCACTAGGCCCCTAGGGCTCCCCACTTGGCCTGGGAGGTATGAACAAGGACTGGGTCACCGGACAGCGCTGGGCTAATCAGGAACTGAGCAAATAAACACAGACAACAACTGATCAGACCAAGCCGACCTCAGGTCCATGAGTCGCATGTGCAGGGATGATTTAAAGCAGCAGCTGTCTATGGAGAATTGCTGCTTCACTTGGGTGGCTAGTATGTAGCACGTCAAAGTAACTTGGGTCTCGGTAGCGATTTCATGGACTACATCTATGTTTTTACAGCCCAGATATCCCCATACGTCTCCAGGTGACTTTCCAGCACGGAAGTTTAGGTCCTATCCCGGCACTGTCAGCTCAGCCAGCCCCCCTTACACTAAGCCTAACACAGCTCATTCAGGAGTTAACCAGCTAGTCACAGAGGGATCTGGTTGAACCCCGTCGCAGGCAGAGCTTTAGGGAAGTCACCTGGGGACTCCAAGTCCTCTTCAGCTTTAACTAGGGTTCAAGGCAGTTCTTTCTGCCCAGGTGGAGAGGGTTAGGGAGCCACCTGTGCATTCTAAATGCTGATGTTTGCATCGCATGGGGACAACGCAAGACACAGGGTGCTGAGAGACTGCTCCATAATGTGACGGCAGCTGGGTCCGGGCCAGAGCAGAGATCACTTCCCGTGAGCCCTCGGAGGGACCGATCCTCAGCAACTTTCATCCTGACCAGTCAGTACCGCCTCCCAGCCTCCCAGTAAGCACCGGTTCCCCATCTGCTCAGCACAGCACGTGTGATTCCCCCTAGGGTGGCCTTCAGGGACTCGTCCCGGGAGTCTCCCCCCTCCACCCTGTGGCATTCTTTGGTGTCTGGAAGTGTGCGGGGGGGTCCCTCTCATCTTGCAGTCACAGGAAGCACCTTGCACGTTTCCTGTCATGAACTGCCCATGACCGGACTGGAGGGCCTGCCGCTCCCTCGGGTCTTTCTCTGCCCTCCACCTACAGAGGTAGGATTTCAGCCCTGGGACCTTCCCCCGGGTCTACAAATATGCGCATTTTGCAAGCCAGCCAGGAGACAGAAGCAATGGGTTTCCACCTTGATCTGGCACTTACATGCTGACAGATCATAACAGTGCTTTCAAATCATGGCAGGCAGTGAATAGAACCAACACAATCAATGGTACAATAGGAAAAAAGCATTTTTACCAAAATGCCATAATCCAGAGCCAGCAGTGTTCTGATTGGTGAAATAGAACCTAAGCCAATCATCACAGCATAATGTGGAAACCACACACTGCCTGAAACAGGTACCACTTCCTTCCTGAGGATGGGTGTTCTGGACAAACCCTGGGCCAGTCCCATGCCATAGTCAGAGAGAAAGGAAGAAGATCCTGCCAAGAGTTCAGAATATTCAGAATTTATTTAAGCACAAGAGAGCACGCAGGGTTTGTGACCTGGTTCACACCGTTCAGGTGAGCCAGGTGGTTGAGGAGAAATCACTTCAGCCACAATCACTCACAGTGACATCAATCGGATGGTAGGCCTGGGCAGGATAGCAGTGCAAGCAGCTCCTTCAAGCCTCTCTTGTACCTGAAACTCATGGGGAATCTAGCAAAGTGTATGTCCTGATAAAAAGGGATTATATTAAGGTAAATGTGTGAGATCGAGTCACCTTAAGTGTTGCTATTCTGAGTAAGAAAAATGAAATATTCCCGACACATTTAAGGCAGCGTCTGCCTTCCCTGTCACCCCTGCTGCCCACCCCCTAATTTTTTTCTTTGTGGAGAAGAAGCTGTAAATGTTTTGTAGCTGCCAGCAGCTGTTTCAAGTGGAAACCTGGGGTGCCAGCCTGTATAGATCCTGTTCCTGGGGCTGCACAGCCCTCTTACTTTGTGTTATGGGGACTTCCCTTTTGTGCCCTGGTGCACCCCTCCCCAGTTTAGGAGTCTCTAGGGGCAGTGGCCATGTTCTCCCCCTGGGGACGGGGACCCTGTGCCTCCCAGTCCTGGGGACTCCGTGCCTGGAACCCTGCCTCATCTTCTGTTCCTGCCAGACCCTGTGGGTCACCCTTCTACCCTGGTGTCTGTAAGCTCTGGCTGGGTCAGGCCAGGATGGCGGGGGGAGCGGGCCGGTCCTGTTGGGCTGGATTGTACATATGTTAATAGCAAAGACGCAATGCCACATTTTTATAATTGTGATTAAACTTTATTGTACAAAAAAACTGTTTGAAAGAAACAGAGAATCAAACAGTATTTCATTGCAAACCAAAGCTAGACAGTAACGGCACACTCCCCCACTGAACACACTGGGAACCCGCGGCCCTGCGGCCGGCCACGGGCTCCGTGGAATGTGATCCAGAAGCTGCGCTCCTGCTCCTTGTGCCGCCCCTCGCACACCTTGGTCACCTCCTCTGCCTTCCTCTGCAGCAGGGCGAGCTCTGGTCGATTCACTGCGGGGAGTCCATGTGTGCGTTGAGGATTTGCAGATCTGCTGTAGCAGGTCGCTGGTGTCGGCGGGGCCCCTGGACCTGTTCAGGTGCTCGATGATGTCCTTGAGGTCCTGGGCCATGCGCTTCCGCTGTGCGTCGATGTTCTTGGCCAGCTTGTAGGTCTTCTGGCGTTAACAGGTGCTGGTCCCCGGGGCTGCCAGACCTGGATGCACGGGGCGGTGCAGAGGAGGCGCCTTTCACATGTACTCCCCACAGTCGGAGATGATCACCTTCTCCTTCGGCTTCCCGTCCTTGCTGCCCTGCGCCTCGATCTGCCGCAAGACATCCAGGCCTTCCGTGACCTCCCCAAACACCACATGCTTGCTGTCCAGCCAGTCCGTCTTGTCACACGTCAGGAAGAACTGGGAGCCGTTGGTGTTCGGGCCGGAGTTGGCCATGGAGAGCAGGCCTGGTCCCGTGTGCTTGAGGATGAAGTTCTCATCATCGAACTTCCTCCCGTAGGTGGACTTGCCCCCGGTGCCATTGTGGTTGGTGAAATCGCCGCCCTGGCACATGAACTGGGGGATGATGCGGTGGAAGCTGCTCCCCTTGAAGCCAAAGCCCTTCTCGTGGGTGCACAGGCAACGGAAATTCTCTGCCGTCATGGGAACGACGTCTGAGCGCAGGAGTATCTGGATGCGGCCGGCTGGCTTGTTCCCAATCTTGCTGTCCATGTACACCTGAGGGCCTTTTTGGCAGTGGGCTCTCCCTCCTGTGCTTCTGCTTTGGGGGGCTCCGACCCCTCTTCCTCTTTATTCTCTTCCAGAGTCTTCCCAGAGAACTTCTTCAACCAGTCATCATCTGACCAAACTGGTCTGGAAGAGCCTTCCTTAATCCTCATTGGTTTGGCCAAATTGACGCGAATCGTCTGTCCAAAGAGTTCAGATTCATTCATGTTGTCGATGGCTGCTGCAGCATCCTCTGCCAACTCAAATTCAACAAAAGCAAATCCTCGGTGCTTTCCTGTTTCATAATCCAGAGGAACCTGAATATCTGTGATATCTCCAAAAGGAATAAAAGCTGCATGAAGAACTTTGTCATCCACCTCCTCTGCAAGTCCACCCACGTACAGCACATGCTGGGTAGCGGCCATCTTGCTTCCCCGCTCTCCCTCTGGAAGCCAGCACCCGGCCCGCCCCCTTTCCAGGCCTAAGCTTATTTTTTTTAAAAAATTTTTCTTAAATACAGCAAAGCCCACACAGCCCCACGGCACTTCCCTGATTCCAAGTAGTAAACAGCATTCAACCGTAGAGCATGAGACTCTTAATCTCAGGGTCTTGGGTTTTTGCCCCACGTTGGGCACCAATTACTGGGGTTCAACTCCAGCAGGTCCCGGGGTTCCCAAAGGTGTGGACGGAGTCGGCGAAGAAGGAATGACACAGAGACAGTGTTCAGTTGATCAGCAGTCTAGCCAGGATCTCCAGCCACGTTCTGTGTTTGTTTCTCCTGCTACATCTGTATTTATACCAGTTGATCTTAATCCTATCCATTCTTTTCCAAATGTTAGGGCGTTCGCTATTTCCATTCCAGGGAGTAAAGATTATGTAGCTTAAACGTGATTGTTCATAGTTAAAGTGATTAACTACCCACCTGGCACTTAAGGGGTTTTACTGATAAAAATCCCCACCCTGGGAAACAACCTTTCTCTTGGAGAGGTAATCTTGGTTAACACACATAGCACCAAGAAGGGGAGCAAACATACTAAGAACAGTATGCCATAGACTCGAGGTCCCTTGAATCCTAAGCTGTGCAGATGTTTTTTCCCCGCAGCGACTGTGTCAAGCAGCAAGGGTGGTCCGGCTTCCGGCAGAAGATCTTTTCTTTTCAGTCAGTAACTTAAAGCTGTCATTTTTTTTTTGTCTGCTGAAATAAGAATTATAAAGTCAGTGTCGGCAGGGATAAAGGATAAAGTTTAAACACAACAGCTCCATTTTGTATGCATTTTGCATGCTTATATTAAGTAGAGAAGGAAACTGTCAGATGTTTTTCACAAAGGTATCCTCTTGATTGTACACTGCAGGTACTGTATTTCTTCGCTTTGTTTCACTGAAAAGACCTATCCAGCTAATATCAGTCATGGAAAGGAAGTGTTAAGAATGAAAAATAATGAAAATTAAACTACTTCTGTCTGTGAATCATTTAAGCAATATCTATCTTTAGAGTCTCACATTTCTGCAGTTGTGAATAAAGATTAAGGTGACGCATCAAAAAAGAAAAGGAAAAAAAGAAATGACTTTAAAAAAGGTGAACGAGGGCCATTGCCGCAAGAGCAGAAGATGCAAGGCGAGGTGTTTTGGCCTAGGAGGGCTCTGGCCTGTTGCTGGCCATCGGGTCAAGGCCTCAGCCATGTTGGCGCCTTCTGCAGGCTGCGAGGAAGAGTGGGCTCCGTGTCCTGAGCTCCTGGGGCATCACCCTGATCTCGGTCCATGTTCACATGATGTTCTCCCTGAGTGGATCTGTGAACCAAACTCCCCGCCCCCCTTTTATAAAACAACACCAGCCATGTTGGAATAAGCCCACCATACTCCAGCACGACCTCTTTTTAACTGATTACACTGGCAGTAGCCCTGTCTCTGTGACTTCCTGGAGAGCCACGTCCTGCGTGAGCAGGTGAAACTCATCAAGAAGATGAGGGTGACATCCGATTCACCTCCGAAGGCTAGCTGGCCCCCAGGGCAGAAATCTCCCATGTCCGGCTGTTCCAAACACTGTGAGTCCCCTTTCCCCTTGTCTTTCGGGCGTGGACTAGAATTTCAGGGATCACGATGCCCTAACTTATGCCCTGAGAGAAACATCTGGTTGGCGGACCATACCTGCAGGTTTCAGAATGAGTCAACACAAACAGTGGCCAATATTGGAAACTGGGCAGGGGGGGAGCAGAGGGGAGTGTTTTTGTACAACTAACTATACTTTTCTAAGGTTGAGAATTCAAGTCTCCATCAATTTCCTGAGTGTTGTCACAAGTTATTCAAGGACGGCTATTAGCAAGGAGGTGGTTATGGTTCAGAGTAGTCAATTGGTGCCACTTCTTGGGATCCATGTCACAGTGGCATCAATAGGACACATGTGTTTCCCACTCAGCATCTTCCCAGCTGGCCCACTCACTGGGCAGGGGCATGGGCTCTGGGATGGGCACCTTGCTCATCAGCATGATCTATGAAGAGTCTCCCGACCGCATCAGGACCACCCACAATGTGGTTGTCTGCCCGGGCCCACGGGGCATGCAACGTGCGTACCGTGATGATTCCTGTAAGGGAATGAGAGGATAGGAGACTCGAAGAAATGGAGGCAAGACAGGATTCTGATCAAGCCTCAAATTTTATTTTTACAGCGGCAGGATATATACTGTTTTGGGGACGGGGGGGGGGGGGGGGGGGTGGGGGGGAGAAGCCTATGGATATTAGCCTATCAGCAGGGTGGTAGCAGGTTCTGGAATGTGGCGGTTGTTGCTTCAGGGTATGAGATAATTATCTTTAGCTGCTGACCAAACCTCAGGACATACGTGGTTTCTGGTAACTAGGAGTTTCCAGAACTTAATGGCCTTGACGTGGTTACTACCAGAAACTTATTGTTCTTAAGATGGCTTTGTCTAGGCCAGTTTCTCCGATGGCTCCCAACAGTTGTCTTCACCCAAAGTGTTCAACACTGTGGTTGAGCCCTGCAGCACCACCCTCTCTGTCCCTCAGTTGGTGCAGAATATGTGTATTTGGGGTGCCCTCTGGCACCACCTGGTGGCCATGGGGCATCACAGCAGCAGACTGTGGAAGTTGAACATTTGGGTCCTGACCCCACCCTGGAGATCTTGGCAACCTGACCATAAGACCTTAATCTCCACAGCTGAACGGATCCTTCCAGGAAAGGTGCGCAGACCTCCCCCCATTCGCAGGGAACTGAAGTTGAGTTGTGAGAAGGAGGCAGTGTGGCCCCACAGGGGCAGCACGAGGAGGCAGACTGTGGCTGCTCATGATGTAAGGGGCGCACTTCACGTACCTCCATCGTAGCTGGGGCGCCCCTGTCCTGGCTGGTGAAGGAGATACTACAGAGGAGCAGCCTTGTTGAACTAAATCGCCTACGAAGAGGGGCCAGGGAAGCTGATGCTCCAGGGTGGAGCCTCAAGCTCCGATCTGCCCTCAGGCTCAGGCTCACTGAGAAGGCTCTGGGAGGCAGCCAGCACTGCGTTGTTGGGCGGGTTTCTCTGGGTAAATTCCATGCTCAGAGGTCACCAAGTCTCAGTGGGGTCAACCTCTGGAGGCTCTGCACACTGGGCCACATGGCAGGTCGCTCTCTGCTTCCCTCCTGTGCCCTCAGGCATCTTAGCACATCTGAGTTTTCCCTCTTGCTGGCCCCAGCAAGAGGAGGCCAGCCAAGGGCACCAGGAGACAGGGGCCAGGGCAGTGAGCAGCTCGGCTCCCCTCAGGGCCACACACACCGGCGGTGTGGGGTCCCGGCTTCCCCGCCCCACCCCAAGCCTCTTCTGAGCCCGGGAAAGAAGCCTGTCGGACCCTGATGTCTGCTCAGACTGAGGGTACAGACAAGTGGCTTCATGCATGGCGATGGGCCGCTTCAAACCCAGCTGGGCCTGTGCTCACCCCAGCTCTTCCATTATAGGTCCCCAGCCTTTACCTCCCCACCCCTCCAAGTGACCCAACTTCCCTCGAATGATAAAACCGCTTCCTGGGCGGTCAGTCTCCAGCACTAGGCCCCTAGGGCTCCCCACTTGGCCTGGGAGCTATGAACAAGGACTGGGTCACCAGACAGCACTGGGCTAATCCAGAACTGAGCAAATAACACAGACAATGACTGATAAGACCAAGTCTACCTCAGTTCTATGAGTCGCATGTGCATAGATGACTTAAAGCAGCAGCTGGCTATTGAGAATTGCTGCTTCACTTGGGTGGCTAGTATGTAGCACGTCAAAGTAACTTGGGTCTCGGTAGCGATTTCATGGACCACGTCTATGTTTTTACAGCCCAGATATCCCCATACGTCTCCAGGTGACTTTCCAGCACGGAAGTTTAGGTCCTATTCCGGCACTGTCAGCTCAGCCAGCCCCCCTTACACTGAGCCTAACACAGCTCAAAAGCTAGACAGTAACGGCACACTCCCCCACTGAACACACTGGGATCCCGCGGCCCTGAGGCCGGCCACGGGCCCAGAGGAATGTGATCCGGAAGCTGCGCTCCTGCTCCTTGTGCCGCCCCTCGCACACCTTGGTCACCTCCTCCGCCTTCCTCTGCAGCTGGCTGAGTTCTGGTCAGTTCACTGCAGGGAGTCCATGTGTGCGTTGAGGATCTTGCAGATCTGCTGTAGCGGGTCGCTGGTGTGGGCGGGGCCCCCGGGCGCTCGATGATGTCCTTGAGGTCCTGGGCCATGCGCTTCCGCTGTGCGTCGATGTTCTCGGCCAGCTTGTAGGTCTTTTCGCGCTCCTTGTAGGCGTGCTGTAGGCAGACGGTCCCGTTCTGCTCCCTGACCAACTCAGAGCCCATGCCAGAGCCCATGCCCCTGCCCAGTGAGTGGGCCAGCTGGGCAGATGCTGAGTGGGAAACACATGTGTCCTATTGATGCCACCGTGACATGGATCCCAAGAAGTGGCACCAATTGACTACTCTGAACCATAACCGCCTCCTTGCTAATCCCCGTCCTTGAATAACTTGTGACAGCGCTCAGGAAATTGATGGAGACTTGAATTCTCAACCTTAGAAAAGTATAGTTGTACAAAAACACACCCCCTACCCGCCTCCACCAATTTCCAATATTGGCCACTGTTTGTGTTGACTCATTCTGAAACCTGCAGGTATGGTCCGCCAACCAGATGTTTCTCTCAGGGCATAAGTTAGGGCATCGTGATCCCTGAAATCCTTGTCCATGCCAGAAGGACAAGGGGAAAAGGGGACTCACAGTGTCTGGGACAGACGGACATAGGAGATTTCTGCCCTGGGGGCCCGCTATCCTGCGGAGGAACCCCCGTATGCTTTCACTAGAGGAGCCATGAAATAAATGCTAGGCAAATACATGCTGGAATGATGCCACTTTCACCAGCGAGACTGATCTACGTGTGCTAGACATGTCACAGGTCCACAATATGCCTGTAAG